CAGTTACAACATTTTTCTTGTTCTTCTTTACACTCTTCTACAGGTGCTGGTCATAAAATTAGAATATCATGAAAAAGTAGATTGATTTCAGTAATTCCATTTAAAAAGTGAAACTTGTATATTATATTCATACATTACATACAAACTCATATATTTCAGATGTTTATTTTGTTTAATTTTGATGATTACAAATGACAACAAATGAAAATCTCAAATTCATCATATCAGAAAATTAGAATATTGTGAAAAGGTTCAAAATTGATGGCCCCTGGTGCCACACTCTAATCAGCTAATTAACTCAAACCACCTGCAAAAGCCTTTAAATGGTCTTTCAGTCTAGTTCTATAGGCTACACAATCATGGGGAAGACTGCTGACTTGACAGTTGTCCAAAAGACGACCATCGACACCTTGCACAAGGAGGGCAAGACACAAAAGGTCATCGCTAAAGAGGCTGGCTGTTCACAGAGCTCAGTGTCCAAGCACATTAATAGAGAGGCGAAGGGAAGGAAAAGATGTGGTCGAAAAAAGTGTACAAGCAAGAGAGATAACCGCACCCTGGAGAGGATTGTGAAACAAAACCCATTCAAAAATGTGGGGGAGATTCACAAAGAGTGGACTGCAGCTGGAGTGAGTGCTTCAAGAACCACCACACACAGACGTATGAAAGACATGGGTTTCTGCTGTCGCATTCCTTGTGTCAAGCCACTCTTGAACCACAGACAGCGTCAGAAGCGTCTAAAGAGAAACAGGACTGGACTGCTGGTGAGTGGTCCAAACTCATGTTCTCTGATGAAAGTAAATTTTGCATTTCCTTTGGAAATCAAGGTCCCAGAGTCTGGAGGAAAAGAAGAGAGGCACTTCATCCACGTTGCTTGAAGTCCAGTGTAAAGTTTCCACAGTCAGTGATGGTTTGGGGTGCCATGTCATCTGCTGGTGTTGGTCCATTGTGTTTTCTGAGGTCCAGGGTCAACGCAGCCACATACCAGGAAGTTTTAGAGCACTTCATGCTTCCTGCAGCTGACCAACTTTTTGGAGATGCAGATTTCATTTTCCAACAGGACTTGGCACCTGCACACAGTGCCAAAGCTACCAGTACCTGGTTGAAGGACCATGGTATCCCTGTTCTTAATTGGCCAGCAAACTCTCCTGACCTTAACCCCATAGAAAATCTATGGGGTATTGTGAAGAAGAAGATGCAATACACCAGACCCAACAATTCAGAAGAGCTAAAAGCCACTATTAGAGCAACCTGGGCTATCATAACACCTGAGCAGTGCCACAGACTGATCGACTCCATGCCACGCCGCATTGCTGCAGTAATACAGGCCAAAGGAGGCCCAACTAAATACTGAGTGCTGTACATGCTCATACTTTTCATGTTCATACTTTTCAGTTGGCCAACATTTCTATAAATCCTTTGTTTTTATTGGTCTTCAGTAATATTCTAATTTTCTGATATGATGAATTTGAGATTTTCATTTGTTGTCATTTGTAATCATCAAAATTAAACAAAATAAACATCTGAAATATATGAGTTTGTATGTAATGTATGAATATAATATACAAGTTTCACTTTTTAAATGGAATTACTGAAATCAATCTACTTTTTCATGATATTCTAATTTTATGACCAGCACCTGTAATTTGTGATCTTCTCCACATTTTGGGCATCTTTGCCTCCCTTTGCAGACTGCTGCTATGTGTCCATATCTTTGGCATTTGAAACACCGAAGTGGTGGAGGTACATATGGTCTGACCTGAAAATTGAGGTATCCTATTTTGATGTTTTTTGGCAGCTCTTCATCTTCAAATTCAATAAGGATTGACAAGCTTCCTACTCTTTCTCCATTCACTGTTTTTGATAATCTTTTCAAGTTGTTCACCTTTGCACCCACAACACTTCTCTTGATTTTATCAAGATCTTCATCAAGAGGGATCCAATAAATCACTCCTCTAATTTTTTTATTTTCTCCCATGATTTTTTTCTCCAGAACAGTTCTTTTGCAGATACTCTCCACATTTAAAGCCTTATTCTTTTGTTCTATATCTTTACATATCACCAATAGGTTTCCGTCTCTCAAAATCTTTACCATTTCAACATCTCCAATTTTCTTTTTTATTTCTCTTGATACCACAATGGGACTGATTTTATCCTTTTCTTCCTCATTTTTAAGTTTTAATATTACTTTAAATTCCTCCCTCACAACTTTCCTCCTGACCACCCTTTCTTCTTCTGAGCTACTTCCTTCCAATTCCCGTTTATTACCTTGACTGTCACCTTTTCCCCTTCCTTCATCAGTTTTATTTCTTCCTCTCCCTCTTCCCGCAGGCGTCCACCCTTCAAAATCCTCGTCTTCCTCATTTCCTATCTCCATTTCCATCCGAACCATTCACATACCAGTTTATGCCAAATCCGCCTTCTCTCAAGTGATGTTTCTGCTTTGAATTTTTCCGCGTCCAACACAAACGTTCGCCACACGTGCTCAACCGCTCCAAGCAATGACGTCTGTGATCGGAACCCCATGGAGGACGGCTTCATCTTCTTCTTTTCTATTATGGCGGATCGCCAGCAACTTAATTGTGCATACTGCCACCTACTGCACATGATTGTGTAGCAACACTACTTTACATCAAATTCTATTTTTTTTTTTTTTTTTGTATTCTGTAGATACATAAATAATGCTTTCCTTGATCTGTGAATATCCTTTATAATTCCTTTATTTCCCAAAATTCCTTTAAGACTCCATTCTTTGCCTGTCCTTCCAACCATCCTTCTCAATTTCTCCCTTTCATGTTCATACGTTTTACAGTTCATCAGTAGGTGTTCTACATTTTCTTTTTCTCCACATCCTTCACGTTTATCATTATTTTTCCCTTCCTATTAAATATAATTTTTTTCTATTTGCAAATTGTGCATGCATTATCCCATGTGCTTTTATGCTGTGTCTGTGCATTAGCCTTTTAAAAATGTTTTATTCGCCTTGTTTTTTTCCTAAAATTACATGCATTATATTTCAGCATATTACTTTTTCAGATGAGACACTACAAAAACGACAGCGTCATCCACTTAATAAAGACTTGCTACATTGACATTTCGCAGTGAATAACTTTTATTTAATCACTTTCTATTTACTGTACTATTTTCTAATGTTAGACACAATGTCGATGGCTAATTCAGTATATCTAATTTAACGCTTCATACTATACTATGGGATTTTTATTTTCTTGGTTAGTACGTCCACTGACTGTGAAATTATTTGTGAAAGGTCCTCTCCCAGCCGGCAAACCGCTTGTTTTTGTAGCAAAATGCTACAAATGTAGGCATTTTATGGCACGTTTCCGTGGGAGTAGGGAGTACCAATATGGCGGCCGGTGGCTTCACTTTTTTCAGACAATTAGCAGTCCAGTGAATATATAGAGATCAGTGGTTAACACCCTGAACATATTAAAGGTATCACTGGCTAAAGATGTAAAAATACATTTAAATAAAATACATCCAATGTTGTTATTCATTAGATGATTCCAAAGGAACACATACAAGATCCGAAAAATTATCCAATAATTAGCATAGAGATAGACGCCATGCTCAAAGGTTTCTTCATATTTTTTCTGTATATTTCAAACTTTTTTGCACCAAGTTCGGGTACAGGTGTTGTAGAACAGACATGAAAAGGTGACTACAAATAAAATAGAATAAAGAACAAGATATAAGGAAAGAAAAATACAAAGAACAGAGGAAGTAAGAAAATAAGGCAGGTAGACAAATGGAGAGACAAAAACACAGAGGGAGTGGAGGCAAGGCAAGATTAAAACATAAAGCACACAAAGGAAACACGCGAGGCAGGACACAAATTAGGGCTCCTTCCTGACATCCAGCAGTATTTGGACAGCATTTATCATGGCTACTACTGAGGCACCGCCGTTTATTTGTCTTTACCGATTGGATTGAGCCAGAGACAAGAGAGATAGCAAAAACATGAAGAACCTAAAAAGGAAGAAATCAAAGAAAAATAAAGATAAATTGGGAGGGGTGTGTGAGGAAAGTCATAAGAAAGAAAATAATGTGAAAGGGAAGTGAGGCTAGGTGAGGAGGAACTTTTGGGAAAAGGTAAACATTAAGACAAAGGGAGAGGGAAAGACAAGTCGTTCTCCAGACCCTGAAAACACTACGACCAGATTCCACAAGTTATTGGATTTTTAGGAGCTATGTAATCAGCCAAATAACATGCTGGTATTCAGATCTGACATGACTGATATTTACCATGACATTGTTTTGTTTCTTTAATGTAGCTGCATTGGTTTCCACAAGAGCTCATAAATACAAGGTTTTTATGGCCGTAACCTTGTTTTGATGTCGCCTAACTCCTTACGCTAGTTAATTTTAGCTTCTCAGTAGACAGAGGTGCATCTCTTTGATCAAGACTCTACATTTTTATTATTACATTGTTATGTATAATTACCTTTCCAGTTTTTAATTAGGGTATGGATAACTTTTAATTTGTTATTGGCTAAGATTTCATTGCTTGACAGAAACCAAAATGTTCACTTGTCTTGTGGAACATTTTCCCAAAAGAAATGGCGGCATTCCTCGACACTAAAGCATTTAGAAGCTTCATATTGCTTCAATGTGGAATTAATTTGTTCAACAAAATACTTATTAGTGTGAACATTTTGCATTCTATTTTAGTCCATATTGCAATATTCCAAGTAAAAAAAGTTTAAATTTGAACCTAAAGCCATATTTTAACCAATTTACCCAACTTTGTTTAGAATTTAGGAGTATTTCAGCTCTTAAACAAATCTGAAGTCTGTGGTTCTTGCACTGTAGCACTTTTTTAATCAGAAAATATTAAGTTCATATAAGCAAGTATTTACTAAGAGATGACTTTATTTAAATTTTAGCCTTTTGAAATCAATATTACAACAATTAGATAATGTTTTAGCAGGACTATGACATTCTATGTGTGGATTATTTCATAAATAAAATAAAGCAATCAATGAAGGGTCACTTACATCAAGATTTATTATTTTTATGTGTACAGTCCATGAAAACTTCAATTTCTTCTCCTTAGGAATAACATTGTCTTTTTCTTTTATTTCCAGTGGCAAACAAATGTTGATTTCTGTGCAGCAAACAGAACATGTCCAGAAGTTTGAAAACATCCTCCATCCTGTCAAAGCGCAACTATATTAATAACACTATTTTCTAAAGAGCCCAACACGACCACTGTCACCACCTCGCCCTCAGGATTCCTGACATCTGATTGTGGTCAGCTAGGTGCCTGAAGACGATACGACTCAACCTCCACTTTCTCTTCACTCCCCGAGGTCTGGACGTCAACACACATCTGTTGCGTATCCTAACAGGACAGCTGTCTCTGGGTAGTGCTGCAATCTCCTTGTCAGCTATTTCCTGCAAACAAAGAACAATATAATAAGAAATAGCCCAATTGTTATTTTCAATAAAGTAATAGCTCAGATCAACTCAAAAATTGAACTTAATGCATTCTGAAATTAACTAGGGCTGCAACAACGAATCGATAAAATCGATAAAAATCGACTTTTAAAAGCGTTGGCAACGAATTTAATCATCGATTAGTTGTGTCGCGCAATTAATGCGTCATCCGCCGCCGCCGTCATCCCGGGGAAGAAAAAAAAATATGGCGGAGCGAGTCAGCGCCGCAGTTGCAGTGTTGCCAACTCAGCGACTTTTCAGACCCCTCCAGCGACTATTTTTTTAAAAAGCGACTAGCGACAAATCTGGCGACTTTTTACGGTGTCACTGGCGGCTTTTGGAGACTCTTACGTGAAAGCATGTATCGTTCCTACTCTTGTCCTCCAGCGGCAGCTGCTGCCGTGGGGCGCCTCCCCCATCCCAACGCCTTTCTCCCTCTCCCACAAGAATCCCTCTCAGCGCTGCAGTCCGAGCCGCAGGATTTTAGTGAGGAGTTTACCCTCAGCGTCCAGACTGCAAATGAAGCGCGCATGCCCCGGGATTGACGGCGCAAATTGATCACAATAATTAAAATAGCCTGCGCTTTGTAAAGTGAAAAAAGTCGTAACATGCAACTTTTGTAAAAACAAATAAACATGGCACAGAAGCACCACTGTTATGACGCAGCACCTGAAAAGAAAACACGTTGGAGCCTTCAATGGCAGTGAAGAGAGCTGATCAGCAGGATGAGTAACCATGTTTGTTTCATTTTAAAGAGGGGAAACGCAAGTTAGTTTCTCAGGTAGCTCATCTGATGCTTTCCTTAGCTTGTTAGTAGGTTACAGACAGTGATAAGGTTGGCTACTTATTTTACTTTTAATTTCATTTGAATTAGCTTAAGCAGCGTTTATATTTTCTTTATAAATAAATTAATTTGCAAATTATGAGGGCAAGGCTTTTAAAGTTTAAATCTTCTGGCAAAGATAAAGTAAAGAAGATCCTGCAATTTATGGAAGTAAAGCAGAATAAAATCCAGCAAGATCAGTAATATGTCAATTAATTATATGCCACATTCCCATGTAAATATCTGTCTTTGGAGGATGTGTTTTTTAGCACCCCTAGTTCTCTCATTTTTATTCCAAATACAATTTATAATTTGAATCACAGGGCTATTTTTATCTCTATGGTTCAGTATTTTCTCAAGTAGCAACTTTAACTGCTATACTTTCCTGTCTTAAAAGGCAGAACTCTTCTAGTCTAAAAAAAAAAAACTCATTTGTTGAAATGGGGGGGCCTATTGTTTGAGACCCTTAGGGGCTTTTAAAAACAAAAATGTCTCTTTTTGCGCTTTATGAAACAAAGTACCCTATATTTTGTGGATGTACAGCTACATTTCTCATGTAAGTTTGCGTAGTTTTAAAACAAACATTTAATTTTTCATATTGCACCAGTACAGTTAATGAGCAACCTGTACTTGTGTGCTTGTTTGTTCTGTCTAAAATGTTTATTTTGGAATAAAGAGGTTAATATAAAAAAAATATTTTGTGTCCGATTCATCGATTAATCGAAAAAATAATCGGCCGATTCATCGATTTTCAAAATAATCGTTAGTTGCAGCCCTAAAATTAACCTTATGCACACCCTTTTTTATTCAGCATATTTAGCTATTTAATCAGTACTGAGCTCTACCTGAAGTTCTTTGGGCAGGATGGTGTTCTTCCGCAGTGCGTTGATACGTATCCTCTCGTGAGCATACTGAAAGGCCATCTGTCTTCTCTTGACATCCCTCAGCATCCTCCAGTCAACGTAGTAACTTCTCACCTGGGCCACTGCATTCCAGCAACTCCCCAGTGCCTGCTCATCATCAGTAAAATACAATTAACCCTAATTTTGTAACTAACAGCCATCGTCACTTCCAAATAACATAAAAAAACAAACAAAACAAAAAACAGTGATCTCTATTCACTAGAATTCGGATAGCCCGAAAACAAAATAAGCCACCGGCCACCATATTGGTACTCCCCAACTTCAACGGGGATGCGCCATAAAAATGCCTACATGTGTAACATTTGACTGCAAAAACAAGCAGTTTTCTGGCTGTGGGAAGACGTTCCACAGGTAATTTCACAGTCAGTGGATGTACTAGCCAAAAAAATCCATATATATGCCGATATATCCTACAGGATAGTATGTAGAGTAACATTAATCTGGCTATCTCAGACCAACTCAAAGATATTGATTGATTTAGCCATCGACATTGTGTCTAACGTTTGAAAATAACAAGGAGAGTAAATAGAAAGTAATTCACTGTCTTCTGTTTTTTTTCACCGCAACACAAAGTTTCCTAAAAAAATGACAGCGGTCTAGGACAACTAGCATTAGCAACCAAGCTAAGGTTACGAAGCCAGTCAGAACTTTGCATTTTTTTACTGCAACTTCATTAACTTCTTGTAGATGACCTAAGGCATCTTTTTAGCTCAAGAAATAACGGGTGTTGAAATCAACTGGTACCTGCTTTGGAGCGTAAATGGTGGAATAAAGTGCATTTAACCCCAGACATGCTATTCTATTAGCCGCCATGATTGGTTTGTATCGGAGGAAGGTTCTTCTTCTTCTACTTCTTCTTGTCGAGTTTTATGGCGGTTGGCAACAAACTGTTAGTAGCATTACCGCCACTTACTGGTATGGAGTGTGGTTCGTGATGGTTTAAATATTTATCCTGATACATTCTACCTTAACTTCTTCTAAACATACATTCACACATTCACACTTAAAAATATATACATATTTGTGCACAGCTTTGTATATCATTCCTTCACTCACAAACACACTTACTATAATTAAATTCTATGGAATAATTTCGTTTTCTTTAGAAATCGAATAATTATTTGTATGTGTTTACTCCCTAAATTTTTCCTCAGTATATCTAATAAATTAACCTTCTCCTTAATGTCTTCAAACTCTCTTCTCATATATCTTCTCTCTCTTTCATATTTATGACATTCTAATATAACATGTTCTATGGTTTCATATTTATCACAGAAATCACATTTGCCCGTTTTATGTTTTTGTATTTTAAAAAGTGTATAATTAAGTCCTGTATGACCAAATCTTAACCTTGTTATCACTCTTTCCTCCTTTCTATTTCTTCTTCCATTTCTTCTTTCTCCTACCATCTTCTGAATTTTATAAAACCATCTTCCTGTTTTATCTTCATCCCACCTTTTTTGCCAAATTTCCATAAGGAAGGTTCTTCTTCTTCTTGTTGAATTTTTATGGCAGTTAACAAAAACGTTAGTTGAGCATTACCGCCACTAACTGGTGAGGAGTTTAGACCACGTGGTAAAAAAAAAAGAATAGTTTTCCGAACTGTATGTTTTAACTCAACATAATGAAATACATAATCGAATTCGTCCTCATAATTACTCATCTATCTTTATGCTTATGCCACTCTGCCTGTTTCTGGTGGTCCTACTCGTCATCACACTTTCAACCATTTCCAATTTTAAATCTTTCACTTCGGTGTAGTTTTATGCAGCTCGAGCTATTATCTGATTTTTCCGGTTTTCTTTGTCGTCTGAGCAGTACAATTGATTACTTTTACCATGAAATGTACAAATCTTTCTTTTTTTTTTTTAAATCACTGAATCTTCTGCAATTTTGATGCACTCCTCCAGAGGCTTTGCACTTTTCATTTGAGCCACTATTGGTTTGGGTCTTTCTGACTGGGATGGGATTCTTTTTGCAGCTTCAGCATAACTTATTCTGACCTCTAATTTCACTTTCTTGATCTCTTCAGATCTTTTGCTCACACCCGCGATAAGCAGCAGTATGTTTTCCACTAGTTACAGTATTTAATTTTTACTTCTTTCCCACCATTTCTATATTCATGCTCTCCAGAACACCCTCCACACCATTGTTTGCTCTTACACACTGCTGCTATGTGACCACATTTTTGGGATTTTAAAACATCTCAGAGGTGGAGGATTGGACATTTTCACATTGTAGCTCATATATCCAAGGGAAAATTTACTCGGTAACTGCTCTTCAAATTTAATCAATACTGACAAGCAGAGGCGTAGCCAGAAAACTTTTATAAGGTTGGCCAGGAAATGACCAATGTACACTGAGGGGTTGCCCGAAAGTAGATAGGCACCAAAACCTCACGGTCAATCTACACTGTTCCAGCAGGAAAATTAACGAGCAAAACATCCATATTTTCTAAATAAAGACTAACTATACTTTCTGAAAGCCTTTGCTAACAAAGAGACGCATATATGCAAACATCTGTGCTTTCTAGATAAAAGGTATAGTGGATAAAATTGTTTCAGGTTTGAGTTTTGGGCGAACATTATTTTCCATTGTCATTGCTTACCTACTTTTATCTGTAGTCATTCTCTATAAAATGGATATTTACGAGCACTAATATCTAGATAAATTGATTATTTAATACGTTTTTATTAAAATAGTTATTTATCTATGATTTCACCGAAGACTCCTAAGTGACTTGCAGAGACATTTTCTCTTTACCCCATAAAACAAAATCTATTTCTGAAGAGCATGCATTCTGTACTTATCATCTGTAATGTTAGTATATTGATGTGCATAATTAACCAGTGTTTTTATTGTAAAGTAATTGTTAATATATGAAAAATGTATTTAATATTCTACTTGAGAGTATTACTGCTGCCATCATCTGTATTAGAGGGAAATAAATGGTAGGGGTGGTCACAGGGGTGGCCAATGATTGGCTAAGGATGGCCATGGCCACCCCTGGCCCCCCATCTACCTCCGCCCCTGCTGACAAGCTGTCACACCTTTCTCCATTTCTTGTTGTTTTTAACCATTTCACCTCTTTTACTTTAGCACCACTTCCATTTTCTAGAATCTCTTTGTCAACTACTTTTAGAGGCACTCCTCCAATGAATCCCGTGCTAATCCTGTTCTCCTCCAAGCTGAAATTTTCAGCAGAGCTTGCTGTCTCTCGAAATTTTACCAGCATTACTGCCACTCACTGGTATGGATTGTGGTTTGTGATGGTCTTTCTACTTACATACATTTATCAAAAAATAAAAAAATTAACTACTTTATGTATATATGTAAGTTTTTACATATACATACACACACAGGCACAAGCCCCAACCCCCCAGACACACACTTAGACAACTTTTATTGTCAGACACATGCACACAGATATACATACTTACATAACCTACATACGTGTACATAACTTTGCATTCTACAAACATACATACCGTAACTTTGTATTCCACCCATCTACGTCTTAAACACATTCATATACACATCTTCTATAATCTAATTTTATGAAATTCAAAATTATTCACATTCTTTATAAATCGAATAAATATTTTTCAAATTCCTCCCAGAAATATCAAATAAATTAATCTTTTACTTAATATATTCAAGCTCTCTCCTCATATACCTTCCCTCTCTTTCATATTTATGACATTTGAGTATAACATCTGCATATTTTCCACAGTAATCACATTTGCCAGTAGTATAATTTTTAATTTCCCATGGCGAGGAGGGTTAGGTAATAATTTATTTAGTCTGCTTTAGCTCACTACTTTACAATCAATTAAGCTTTCCTTGTTATTTTGGACCCTGGAGGGAATGCGTTCTTGGATAAATATTAACACATGACTAAGTGGATGCAGCACTTCCTCTTTAAAGATCAGCCTTTTCACAGAGGCTAGAAAAAAACTATGTAAGGTTATACAATAAATAAATCTGGGTTAAAAGTCTGTGCGTTAATAGAAACTATATGAAAACGGTATTTTAATAGTAACAATGGGTTAGTATATACTGTAGTAATGATTAATGAGCTGGTTGAATTTCTTAACGTAACACATGCCTGAATATCAGCATTTTTTCTAAATCCTTCTAGTTCTGAAATATGTGGTTCCACTCAAGGTCAGAAATGCTCATGTTAAGTTTATTGAAATTTGGAAAAACAGTTTTGTCATTTGACAGCAGTAGTATGTCATAATTAAACTGCTATTTGGCGCTCAGATGGTTTTGGCCTTTAAATGGAACCCCTCTAGAGGCTGTTCCAAGATCACCAGGAAGGCAAAAATAATCACGGAGACATCTGAAACAGAAAGTGATGTGAGTGCTGACCTTCCAGAACTTCCGCTGAAAAAAAATGATGATAAATGTCAATCTGTTAACTTCTGCCAACAGAAATCCACCTCTGTGTTAAAATTATTCCCTGCTAACATAAAGACATTTCTTAAATTTGGAAAGTGCATTTGAGAGTATCAGAGCTAAACAGTTCTACAGGGGAATTTATGGATGTTTTGTATGTGTTTTCAGGAAACAGACATGCATTTATAGGCTTTACAAGAGAATTTCGGGACTTGAAAGAGAAAAATAAAGCTATGCAATGTTAAACTAGTGTGCTTCTGTGACAAATGGACATTACTCAGAGAGACCACAGACAGGTGGTATCATCCATAAAACTGACAGGAGTCAAGTGAGCATGGTCAACCAATGACACAATGCTACTGTTGCTTAAACAGCAGGGAATGTTACAAACATATGAGAATTAAAAGAAAAGAATAAACTGAAACTCAAGATAAACCAATGTTTTACACTTATGTAGTAATTTCCACTTTCCTCTTCAGTCCAAAAATGTGGCAATAAGAATAATTGTCTTGATGCCAGAAAGAGAGCCCAACAGATTTTGCTTTCACAAGTGGAGCAGTACGGCTATCGCCATAGTGTTCCGCTTGATTTATGCTTATAAATTACTTTATTATAATTCATGCAGGGAGTATTACAGATTATATGGACACTGCAATGTAAGTAGAACAGGAAAGGAAAAAGAGAAAAGATGAAAAAAATAGGAGATAAAAGCGAGATAACGATAAAACATCTTCAGTCTGCTTCATCACCTGCAAAGAGATGTAAAGAGAACAGCACAACCAGCAGATATAGTATAAGAGATGTAATAAATTAACACCATGATACTATCGCTGAAGTATAAGTAGTATTATAACTACTTTATATATCTATTGTATACAAAAAATGTATACATCGGCCTACTGCACAAGCCAAAAGGATAGCTAAAAAAGGATAAATGAAATAAAATACTAGCTCTATATTTTAGTCTTAACACTGTGTATTGAAAGGACTCATTTGCTCACATCTAAAATAAGGGAGCGCTCCCCCACAGCTACAGAGTAAGTTCTCTGTCAGTCAAGAATAATTTCCCACCCCGAAGATGCTGATTAAAGCACATAAGGATCCCTTGGCTGATCAAACACAGGTCTGATTTACTCCATACCACACCAAGATGAAAATGTGACAGGAACAGATGTCTGTTTATTTTCTTTTTGGCTGCTGTGGAAATGTTTGAAGATCAGGGAAGCGGTTTAATTTGCTGCTGGCATCTCATAGCTTTCCTATCTTAATGCCTCACTGATGAAATATAAGATAGATGGGGGCAAACGCACACAAACAAGCTATTAAATTCACGGGGACAAACGACTGTGTCATCCCGCTTGGCGTTTTAATGTCTGCTCCTCAGCTGGTAAACAATAAACAAAATGTTTATTGTGGGTGGGCATTCACACTTTTGACCTTGACAAGTTTACACCTGAACCTGTCGCCATAAATCCTAGGGTATAGAAGTGGCTAATTA